AATGCCTCTGATAAGGCATGGTCATGGCGAGATAGTGGCATGAAAGGTTTCATTAGGATTTTCCACCCATTATTACTCACATATCATACCTGGGGAAAATTACCAAAATGTCCTAAACCTTTTGCAATTGTGCCAATTCAGTCCTAAATCTTATTTTTTAGCCAATTCAGTCCTAAACTTTTTGCAATTGTGCCAATTCAGTCCATCCGGCCACTTTTGGCCGGCCGTCGCTAACGTGGCCGCCGGTCGGCTGACGTGGCGCCGGCCGGCGTCCACGTGGCAATTTTTAATAATTTTTTTATTATTTTTCGAAATTTTTTTTTTCTCTTTTTTTTTTTTTTCCCCTATCTTCTTCCCCGGTCGCCGGTCCGGCGACCGGCGACTGGCGAGAGGCTGAGGCTGGCGAGGTCCACCTCGCCGGCCATGGGCGAGGCTGGCCCTCGCCGTCGCTGGGCGAGGTCGACCTCGCCCGGCCATGGCGAGGTCGACCTTGCCAGGCGACGGCGAGGTCGACCTCGCCAAACTGGGCGAGGCCTCGCCGCGACGGCGAGGCTGACCTTGCCGGCGACGACGAGGCCGCCCGGATCCGGCGAGACCTCGCCGTCGCCGGGCCAGCCTCGCAGATCACGGGCGAGGCCGACCTCGCCATGGCCGTGCGAGGCCTCGCCCGGCGACGGCAAGGCTGCCCAGATCCGGCGAGACCTCGCCATCGCCGGCCAGCCTCGCCGTTCTTCGGGAGAGGTCGACCTCGCCATGGCCGGGCGAGGTCGGCCTCGCCGTCGCCGAGCGAGGCCTCGCCCAGATCTGGCGTGGGCGGCCTCGCCGTCGCCGGGCGAGGTTGACCTCGCCCATGGCCGGCGAGGTCCACCTCGCCATCGCCGGGCGAGGTTGACCTCGCCCATGGCCGGCGAGGTCCACCTCGCCGGCCTCAGCCTCTCGCCGGTCGCCGGACCGGCGACCAGGGAAGAAGATAGGCGAAAAAAAAAAAAAGAGAAAAAAAAATTCGAAAAATAATAAAAAATTATTAAAAATTGCCACGTGGACGCCGACCAGCGGCCACGTCAGCGCCGGCCGGCCAAAAGTGGTCGGATGGACTGAATTGGCACAATTGCAAAAGGTTTAGGACTGAATTGGCAAAAAAAAAAGGTTTAGGACTGAATTGGCACAATTGCAAAATGTTTAGGACTTTTTTGGTAATTTTCCCATCATACCTGGGATTGCACATCTTATGAATCGATAAGAGTTTTTCGAGGACAATAACATGGTCTCTCTATCGTATCTCGACTAAGATGCTCACCCCTGATCTTAAGTAAAATATTCCTCTGATCGATTTATGCTCTCCTTTACACTGTTTCTCTCCCTTTTTATGCAATTCAATCATTTCATATAAAGTCATAACAATTTGTTTTTCTCCACTGGTTACTTGCGTGCGTATCTCGTGTGTATTATTCATACTAGACATTGTTTAACAAAAGTATGCATTCACATTTTAGATGCTGTTCTTTTGGTAGTCAACCTGCAACAAATTATTAAAAGAATAAAGCACTTTCAATTGTTTCTTTCTCGACCACATGTATTCAAAGAAGCGTGGAGGAGCACTTTGTGAATGCAAGAAAACCTTGGTCACCGTAAAAAGGTACTTTAGTGCAAGAAAACCTTCGCGGCATATGTTCTTTCCAATTGCTTGACCAACAGCTTAAGATAGACTGCTTTTCAATTCAACCTCGTATTTTTCAGATCTCCTATTGATTTCATGGTTTGTTTATCGGGAATGAAAGCAGGGAAATGGATGGACATGATGGGAACAACTTCTATAATTTAAAGTAAAATTTCAAAGTGACATATTGAATCTCAAGCTTTCGTCCAAAAATCTCCTAAATAGTCCATAGTATTTATGAGATAAATAGACACAGTTAGCGGTGAAATCATGATTGCCGCCTGCTTTTCACAACAAATGATTGTTTAGATTACTATTAGTTCATATAGACTATAGTTAATTATTTATAAAATGATTTTTACCTATTGACAAAGTATAATTAAAGATTATTTTAACTATGTTTATATTTCAATTATTTATACACATTTATTTATAATTAAAGGATGAAATAACATATAAAATTATATTAATTACATCTACTAATTAATCACAAACTATAACAGTTTATAGAACTTAAGAATAAATGATAATTATGTATACTTCATTAAGTTAATTATATGTATTTAGTTTAATAAGTTTATTAATAAAAAGTTATAACTATATTTTTTTGTATTATAATCTAAATATTAATTACATTAATAAATTCTAATGCAAGTAAAACAACATTAAATTTATTAGAAAACTCCCATCCTAGACCATTCCCGCAAATGTCTTTTCACAATCAAATACAAAAATGTTCATTTCAATTCATTACTACATTTCTCCAAACAAAATTATTGAAATTATCATTTCCTTCCATTCTATCGTATCAAACACGACATAATACGTTCAAGGTGTATAAATCTATTTATAAAAATGACATATTTAGTGATAAGAATAAGTTCTTATTGGGTGTTAATTATGGATCATTTTCTTGGTACGACCACCTATAAATCTTTAACAAGAACCTTAGTACATTGGGTATTAATCTAAATATTTAAAAATTCAGTGGCGCAAGACAACGTAAGCGTAAGATCAGAGTCCACGAACGGCTTAGTGGGCTGCAGCTGCATCCTGTCCTGTCTGCACAAGAAATGGGACAGAACCTCTTTGGGGTTTTGAGTCCACAATTTCCTCGTGCTCAAATCATTAATTTATCCATTGTTTATTATATTTTCCCGATAGGATGATCATCAGTCAATTTATTATTAAATACGAAGGGAAACAGAAAAAACATTGGCTTAGAGGCGCGCTCCAAGAATCTTCGTCCTTCAACATCTGCAATCTTTTCGGTTTGCGAAGTACTTTTTAACGAGAGAATCAATGAGGGATTTTCTCGGGCCAAATATGGAGGGATTAGTAGTTGACCAAAATTCATATGTACATTAGGTATATACAAGTATACATACTAGCAAATACGTATACGCATTGCGTGCATGCACAAAATTGACATTGGAAAGGTTGAGTAAAACCTATTTCTTAGAAAATTATGAATCAACAAATAATGGGAAAGAAATTGTTCGTAAAGGTACAAAATACAACGAAATTATGTAAATATATATATCTGTAAATAAGTATTGAGGATATTTAGAAAAAACAATGATAATATACTTTACAATTATGAAGTAATCCTAGCTAAAATATTAGCAAAGGTACACAGCGTTGTGTCAATGCAAGAAATGTCAGTTGGCATTTGAAAAATTAAACAAATCCACCTTTTTAGGAAATATTTGAGTTATCAAATCTATTGCAATTATGAAAATTCAAATTTAAACCTTTTTTTGGCCAATTTAGTCATAAACTTTTGCATTCGTGTCAATTCAATCCATCTGGCCAATTTTGGTAGGAAATTGCTGACATAAACGCCGGCCGACCCCTCATCGGCTATAGGTGAGGGCGTTGCGGCTCTCACCAACTCTGGACGAGGGCCGCCGCACCTTCGTCGACCACTAAGGGAGGGCTCGCGTCCCCTTGCCAGATCTGGGCAGGCGTTGCGGCCCTCGCCAGATCTGGGCCAAGTGAGGGCGTCGCGGCCCTTATCGACTTTGGACGAGGGCCCACAAAGCCCTCGCCTAGTGCCAATGAGGGTCGGCCGGCAACCTTTGCTGGCCCTTAGCCTAAAGAAAAAGTAAAGAGAAAGAGAAGAAAATGGAAAATAAAACAAAAAATTACAAAAATTCAATAAATTATTAAATATATGTGCATGTCAGCGCCGGTCATGCCACGTAGGACGGTCGGCGTCCATACTAGTAATTTCCGGTCAAAATTGACCAGATGGGCTGAATTGATACAAATGTAAAAAGTTTATGACTCAATTGACAACTAAGACTGAATTGATATAATTGCAATATGCTTAAGACTTTTTTAGTAATTTTCCCTAGCAAATATTATTGATAAAAATCATAATATATAAAAATTCTATAGATATAATTGTAAGAGACAGACATTTCAAGATTAAATTTTTTTTCAAAACGTTGTTTTAGGATGATAGATATCCAATTATAATATTGACATACGTGGGAGATAGGATATAATAATTTATATATGCATTTTTCTATGGACACAATATTGGTAATATTAGTAATTAAAAATATTTGGGAAAAATAATGGATATTCCTTAAAAATAGGAGTTGCTTTTTAATTAATTATATGACAATACAGATGTTGGATATAAAGATAATAGTATAAATAGTCATAGATGTTGAACATAAAGATAGGCATGAAAGTAGATACATATATATATATATATATATATATATATATATATATATTTTAGTTACAGATTATCATCTCTCCAAATATTGTCTTGATGGTATTGGACTAGCTGGCTCGATTATTTTTCATATAATTTATTTGAATATAAACCCCTTTTAAATCTCGACCAAAAAAACAACCCCTTTTAAATCGTCGAAAGGAAGTTACTTATAATTTCTTGAAATAATGGTAACAAGTCTAAATAAAGTGTCTCTTTCTGGAGTCTCTTTCACGGACCAAGAAAAGGGTTCAAGCTCTTTGAAACAGTCTTTTACGCAAAAAAAAGCAAATGGATGTTTCGATTATGACACTAGCAAATGACGAAATTTTCTTTGCATAATATTTTAGTGGGGAAAAAGCAAATATGCCATGACCTACCGTTTTAGACGTTAGATAAGGGTTTCTTTTCCTTTTTTCTTTTGTTTTTGTCTCCAAATGTAGATTTGGGTATCATCCAAAGATTATAACCAAATATTAAATCGTAGAGAGGGAGAGAGAGAGAGAGAGAGAGAGAGAGAGAGGGGCTAAAGTTGACCGAAGGAAAAGGCAAAGCCCTAGGCGCTTTATGTGGGAAGACTTGAAAAACTAAAACAGTGATGGCTGAACAAAGAGAGGCAGAGAGAGAGGGAGGCTAACACGCTTGGCACGTGCGAATGCTTTGTTTCACACAGGAGAGTGGAGAACGCGTTTGGTTACTCTATAAGTAAAGGCATCATTTCCTCCTCGTGCCCAGTTTTGAAAAGGCAAAGTTTCTCACACATTCCACTGCTCCGGGTGAGATTTCTGACTTGTGTTTCTTCTCATGTCCCTCTCTGGTCTTTAGTTTTTCAAACATGTTTGAATTCATTGTTCATCAACAAGGGAAAGAAAAAGGGCACAAAAGAGAACTTTCCATGTTTGACTTTCATCTGTCATAAATCAACCGTACTTTTCAGATGAAATTTTTGCGTTCTATCTAGGGTTCTAAATCACACTTGTGAGGTTTTGCATCAACCCAAATCTATAGAAAAAATAAGGAAAAAAAAAATTCATACTTCTTAGGAACCCCAGAGATTGCTTCAATGGAGACCTCATCACCCAAATTGTTCCCTGAGATATTAAGCATTTGATTTTCCTTGCAAGCCCTATCAATTGTCATGTCGACTTGACGAATTTTTCAAGATCTCAGTTGTACTTGATTTCACAGGTAACAGAAGATCCACTTCATCGTATGTATCGGCATCATCAAATGATGAACCCCTTCGATTTCCCTCTCGACGATTTCGACTTCAACCTTTTCTCTTCAGAGATGCCTTCCTTCCGTGCACCGTTGGATCCGGAAATGATGCGAGCTCTCATGGATCCGCGGGTACAAGCTGCTCCGACAATCATGGAGAGGCTAAAGAAGAAGCCAAAGACCGAGATCTGGAGCAGCACTTGCTCGCCCGAAACATACAAAGCCCCAAGAACGGTCATGTCCTCTCTGTCGTCTAGTCCCCAGTTGATATCTTTTGGGAACTCAGATCTGTCCCCGACCGAATCACAACAGTGTTATGGTACTTACATAGAACATTTTTGTTTATTTAGTCTAAAGATTAAGATCTGAGGTAGTATGCTGTATGATGTTTACACGAAAAGCCTTCTTTTGATTGATTTATTGAAGGTGCTTAAAGCTGTCTACTTTTGATTAATTTGTGAAGGTTCTTATGAGATCCAAGATTGTCAAAAAGAGATGAAGAGAGTTGGGGCAATGAATAGACCTACTTTACATACACAAGAACACGTGATTGCAGAGAGGAAGCGGCGCCAGAAGCTTAGCCAAAGCTTCATTGCTCTCTCTGCCATCATTCCTGGCCTTAAAAAGGTAAATCTTCTTCAAGAAACTTCTTTTCCTTTTCCTTTTTCTTTATTTTTTGGAAAAATATTCTATTGCTAAGAGTATATAACTTTGTCATAACATTAAAGGTGCCATAACTAATACTTATCAACATTGAATATATGTTAGTGATCGAAATGTTGAGGCACCAAGTTAGGAAATCCGACTACCGCACTGCAGAAAAATGAGATGATATTAGAAACAGTAACTCATTGTTTGCTCCGAGTCATTGTTACTTGCCATTGTTGTGAATTCCCTATAGTCGGGTTTGCAATCACCCAACTAATGAAACAGTCAATAGCACAGTACTTCATTTTATGCATAAGATCATCTCATCCAATCACCCTTCACAAGTTTACACAGGAAAGAGGTGTCAGCTCGAAGTCTCACTTTCCCAAAAGTATGGATTAGCATTCAAATCATATATATCTCTATCTATTTTTGACTTGCTTACAATAGCTTAAACTTCCATGTCATACTGTCGAGTGGATCTTCAGGTTCATTACCAGGTATTTCATCCCATAGGACACAATTAAAGCTAGAATGAACAAGTTTTGTTTACCTTTGACAAATCATGAACAAGATTGAATACTAGTTTTCCTTCAAGTACCTCAAAATTGACAAATTTGAAGGGTGTAGCTACTCGACCACAATACTCAGCAATTTTCTTGTGTGTTGTTGTGCTTTTCAGATGGACAAAGCATCGATCCTTGGTGACGCGATCAAGTACATGAAGCAGCTTCAAGAACAAGTCAAGAAACTGGAGGCAGAGGTAGCAAACAGGACTGTGGAATCAGTTGTGATTGTAAAGAAGTCTCAAGTCTCGGCAAACGATGATGAGTCATTGGACGAGAACTTCTATAGTCAATTTGAGCAACAACTCCCTGAGATTGAAGCGAGAGTCTCAGATAAGTATGTCCTTTTCCGAATCAATCACAAGAAGCGAAAGGGATTTACAACAGAGATACTTAGCGAAATAGAGAAGTTGAATTTGTTTGTTCTCAACAGCAATGTGTTACCTTTTGGGAGTTCCATACTCGATATGACAATCGTAGCTCAGGTAAGTTCAAGTACTTGCATCATTCCTCTCTTTTTTCTTTCAAGGGTATAATTACAAAAAAGATAAACTTGCACTTTTGGTTAAGTTTTAAAAACAGTATATACTTACAAGCTAATACAAACATATTTTTCAACATATTAACGAAATTACTGTTCGTTCGAATTAAATTGGTTGGAGTAGTTCAAATCAATCTAGTCTTTGTCTAGGTGAAGTAGAAGGGGAATTTTGCAAATTAGTTAATTGAAAGAACTCTGCATCTCCTTTATGGTCGTTCATTTACTTTAACATAACCTTTTGTCCTTGAGAATTAAGTTCGGGCTAAATTATCTTCATTTTCATTAACGGAAACCTTTTTTCCTTTCAGATGAACGTTGGATTCTGCATGAAAGTTGAGGATCTCGTCAAGAATTTACGCCAAGCTCTTCTCAAGATAGCATGATCAATCAACATCATGTTCGTTCGTTTTAGTTTCAAAAGTTTCTTCTAATTTTTCCTTTGGTCATTCAAAAGTTAGCTATATTCTTTCCCCCTTTAGAGTGTCTTTTGGACCTTGTGAGGGAAAACCTTGGAGTCTTTCTTGACCAGACCACCACTTTGCGCACGAATTGTCTTGTTTTGACTAAGAGTTTCTATTTTGCTAGTGGGTTTTTTCCTTCTTCTTTTTTGCATGGTCGGCTTTTTTGGCCATGTTGAAATTTTACCCACAAGCTGTATAGGAAACTTTAAGTATATTTTTTTTAAGGGTCTTTCTTTTGGAGGTTTGACTTTTCAATGAAGGCTCTTCCTTGCACTCTAATTGAAAGTGGAAATGGGCCTTCCTCAGAGAAACAAATTGGAACTTCTCTCTCCCCAGGTTGCATTATGTATTCATCAGTTTATATCTGCTGTAATCAAAGTAAGTTGAACGATTGTGGGATCATCTTCTTATTGATTTTGATCCATATTCGATGCAAATGTGATTGACAAAAGGTGATGGATTGATATTCATGATACTCGTGAAACCATTTTCATAAGAATGGTTGAATTTGTGAACCAATTTATGTTGTGATCTCCTCATGATCCTTCATGGACAGTTTGACTACGTTTGCTAGAGAAGATAAAATTTAGGATAAGAGTAAGTTTGTCATGTCTTGTGTTTAATATTCATATCATTTACATATTTTAGATATATTAGTATAGTTTATTATTTAATAAATTTATATTTAGGAATGATGGAAGGGAATAAAAGAATAAAAAATAAAAAAGAAGGAAAAATAAAAAAATAATAAGTAAACAAAAATGAAGTAGGCCAGAAAATTTAAGCATTATACTTTTCGGAATCACGAAGGTGAAAGATCAACCTTTCTCTCTCTTACTAGATTCAGTATTCGCTAGTTGATCTATCTCGTTGATGTTGCGGTGGCCCATTTACGTTTCTTGTCACGGTCAAACCTATAGCTCTGGAATGCTACAGTGACCTCTTTTACTATTTAAGATTTATATCATACAATAATCATGGATTTATTACTAGAGGTTATCTTCGCAAGTTTATTTGTAATTCTTTAACAGTGGATCGTGAGAGACTCTTATCATCTCCGTTTGTGTATTTTCAAGTTTATTTACATTGATATACCATTCATGTCAAACAGTGGATATGATGGGAATATAAAAATATCCGATTTTATTATTATTCACCGAACAATGGATGGGATATAACAAATTCCTTGTATTTCATATCCTATCCTATCCTGGGTAGAAATTTAGGTAATCAAACGCAGCCAATGAGCATGTCATGTCCATAGACTTCAAAAACTACACATTGTGGAAGCCATTAATATGATTATTTTGACAGGTCTCGTATATCTTTTGTCGAATCTTACCTTGGAGGTAGAGTACTCCCTGAATAAGACGAAGAGGTCTAGTGTATCTGCACAATTGAAATATGTAAATCGAACTAATGTTACGATTGGTTGATGTAATTTATTTAACTTGCACTGTGGTGAGGCTGCGGTGACAGGCTTGCCATCTTGATGTTACGTGCCAGAGAATTCTATGCAGCATAAATTGAGTATTAGGTTACAAGTGGGAAACTCCTATTTAAAGCCTAGTAGGAGTTGCCATCATTAGTCGCCTCTTACCGCTCCTTTTTCGAGCCAAAAGAATTACGCCAATTCTACACATACTCCATAGATATATTAAGGTTGCGTTTGGTTGCTAGGACAATTATTATAGAAGATAGGTTAAGAAGGAATAAAAAAAAAACCCTACATTTCTTGTATGTGATATTCTTTTTTGGTCACTTGTATGTGATATTTTGTTGTATGTTATATATTTGTAGAAAAAATATCACATGTTTCAATGGATGAAGCTATATCCAATTCAAGATAGTGTTTGGTGAAGTTAGATACTGATTTAATAAAAGTAACAAATTATCAAGTAACAAACTTTAAATAAAGAGAAAGAAAGAATGAATGAAAAACATAATCTAAGGTTGAAGAATAACCACTAAAGCCATCCCGATCATAGTAGCACCAATGTTAACGATGATCACCACCATGTTGGTCGCCTGATGTGATTGTGGTAGCGAGATCCCGGCCCCTTACCGGACTACTTGCCCTCAGCCGATCTGAGCGAGGGTGAGCGTTAGACACCACCGCTCTTTTTGGGTTATCGAGGCACCATCATTGCGAAATTTAGGGCAAGCAGGCCCCTCACCTGCTCTACCTGTGGTGAGGCCCTCGCCTTGCCCAGACAAGGCACGTCAAACCTCCTCCTCCTTTTTGTGATGTGGCATCCACTCATCGTCATATTGTGCCACCTGTCTAAAAAAAAGGGAAAATCAACCAAAAAAAGCCATGTAAATGTTCCATCCACTTAAAACTAAAAAAACAGATAGAAGGACTTAAGAGCACAGATTTTGTAAATTTTAGGATTTAAATGAACATAACGAAAGTTTTAGGATTTAAGTGCATGTGTATTATTGTGAAACATTTATGACTTCGGCTGTAATTATCCCTATTTCTTAAAGTTGTGCTAATTGACGCAGTCCAAAGCTAATAATAGCAGTCGTAAGTAATAAGAAAAAGAATTTCAATCCAATAGTTTGCACATCTATAAGGTTAATAGGGTAAGATAGTAATTTTTTCGGTTCCTCCCATGACTGAATCTAGTTTCAAATTTTTCATGGGAAAAAAGTCCTCATTTATGGGCTCATTTTGTTTTGCGAAAAACATTTTTCTCACTTTTCAGCGTTTTGATTGCTTAGGAAAATGAGTCAATAGAAAACCTATGTTTAAATTCAAGAAAAATAATTTTCTCTTTAAAAAATCGAAAAATATTTTCCAAAATATGACTAGATATGAGTATTTGGACCAAAAACTATGCGCTTCAGCACAGGAACCATAACACTCCCGGGACCTTGTTGCTCAAGCCCTAGTCCATCAAGGCTAGCCTGGGACCTTAGTACCCGTGCTCGGGTCCCTAGTGCCCATGCTCGGGTCATCAAGGTCGGGCCAAGGACAAGTCCCATGCGTCCATGCCCTAGTCCATTGAGGTCGGGCTTGGGATTAAAGTGCCAATACTCAGGTCCGCATCCATTGAAGTGAAGCCCAAGGCCTCGGTGCCCATGCCCTAGCAGCAGGTCCCAGGCCCACAAAGATCATGCCCTAGTCCTTGGCACTTGGGCTCGGATCTCCCACACCCAAGCCCGGGACCTCAGTGTCTATGCCTGGGTTCTCGATGCTTGGGCCAGGGTCCATAGAGGCCAAGTCTGGTACCCCATTGATCGTGCTCGAATTCCTTGTAACTAAGCCTGAGGCCCTGGTCCATCGAATCCAAGCCTAGGACCCTGATGCTTGTGTTTGGGTGCCCAACAAGAGCTTGAGACCCTAGTGCCTATGCCCAGATCTACAACGCGTCCATCGAGGCCAAGGTCCGGGACCACAATGCCCGTGCCCAGGTCCACTGAGGCGGGGGTTGAGACCTTAGTTCCAATGCTTGAATTCCTGGAGTCCAGGTCTCGGGCCTCGGCCTCGATGGACTTGAGCTCAGGCATTGGAGACCTAAGCATGGGCATAGAGGTCGGTGCCCCACCCTCAATAGACCCAGGCACAAGCAACCAAGCCATAGCCTCAATGGACCCTATCTCGGGGCATAGGGGATTCGGCCACAGACACCTAGGCCTTGGGCTTGGCCTATGTGGACATAGGGCGAGGCGCTAGGAAGCCATACACTAGCACCAAGTTCTTGGTTCCGACCTTAATGGACATGGGACTGGTGCTTATGCTTTTGCTTAGGACCCAAGTGACCATGCCAAGGTTGGGTTCCATCAAAATCGGAATCTCGGTACTGGTCTCTCGTTCTCCGGCTACTCGTGCGCAAGTCACTAGTGCTTGAATAGTGTATATGTATTTAGAAAAATCAATAAGATTCTTCTTTACAAATGATGGAATATATTTTGCGATTCCCTTTCAAATTACCTGCCAAACATAAGTAAATATTATCATTTTTTTAGAAAATGACTTCTTTGAAAATATTTTCCAAATATGAAACATTTTCCATGATCTTTGCTCCTGTACCCTGCCTTTGCTCCTGTCCCCTGCCTCTCACTCTTCGATTCCATCCTCCAATCTCCGTCCTTGGTGAGCACTCCCCTTTCTCTTTGATCCTTACCGATCTACATTTTCTTCTGCATCCACTGCCGACATTAGAGGAGCTCATGAAGCTCGAGCTCTCATGGCGGCCACCACTCAACAAAGTCATAATTGATATGGTACTAAGTATCTAGTATCTTTAGTTAGAGTTGTGATCACAATTTGTTTCTTCACGGTTTACCTGCGTGCGTGTCTCGTGTGTATTTTATTATACTAAAACAAGCTTTGACGAAACTTTGCATTCATATTTTCGATGCTGTTCTTTTAGTAGTTATCCTGCAACAAATTATTAGAAAAAAATAAAACACTTTTATTTTATTTTTACCTACACGTATTCAAAGAAGCATGGAGCCCTGTGAATGCATGTAATGCTTGGTCGGTCCTTTAGCGCTCTGACATGGAGCCTGACATGTGTCCCATCGTGGCAGAATGTTCTTTCTATTGGTTGACCAACAGCTGACACATGATAAGACAGTGTGCTTTTTCAATTTAATCTCATATTTTCAGATCTCCGATTGGTTTCGTCGTTCGGTGATGGAGAATGAAAGCAACGAAATGGAAATGACACAATTCCCATTCAATAGCGTGCTTCGATTGAAACAATTTCTATAATATAAAGTAAATTCAAAAGTGACATATTAAATTTCGTACAAAATTTCATAAAGATTCCATACTTTTAATGAGACAAATATTGACTGTTAGCCAAGAATAGGTAATGGTAATTCACATTGGTTGACAGAACAATCATGTTTATTCCATAAACCTCTCTTGAACTTCAGGTATAATTTAATACTCCTCAATTTGGAAAAATAAATGTCTCTATTGAATAAAGCAGATACAAAGGCAACATTCAACATAAAAATTTCGTCAAAAAGTTTCATGAATAGTCCATGGTTGCTATATAAGATAAATGAAAACTGCATATTACCACAAAACATGCAAAATGACAAATTTAATCGGTCGTCGACAAAACTATGTTATCCCATTGATCTCTCGTGAAATAGATAAAAAGATGAAATAACATAATAAATTATATCAATTATGGATATTAAGGCTTTGTTCGTTTGGCGGAAAATATTCTCCTTTTGGAAAATATTTTCCCGGAAGTCATTTTCCTGAAAAATATTTTCTTGAAACACAATTTCTGGTGTTCGGCGACCGCCGATCCGGCGGTGTCTGGCGACTGGCGGCGGCGATCGGCAACCGCCGATCCGGCGGTGTCTGGCGACCGGCGGCGGCGACCGGCAACCGGCGGCGGTCGGCGGCGGCGGGCGGCAATTGGCAACCGGCGGCGGTTGGTGGCGACGGGCGGCGATCGACGGCCGGCGACGACCGACGGCCGGCGGCGACCGATGACCGACGTTGACTAGCGACCGACGACCGGCGGCGGCCGGGGACAGCGGTGGCGGTGACCGGCGAACAACGGCCGGCGGCAGCCGACGACCGAAGGGGACCGGCGACCGACGACCGGCGGCGGCGACCGCGGCGGCGGCCGGCGACGGGCGGTGGGGCAAAATTGCCCATGGGAGGGAAAATATTTTCCGTGGGAAGTTATTTTCCGCCCCCCGAACACTGGAAAATCCAGAAAATATTTTCCTGGAAAACATTTTCCGCCAAATGAACGGAGGCTAATTAATCCCAAACTACAATAACTTATTTAGTTAACAAAATATTCATTATTATTTATACTTGATTAAGTTAAGGGATAATGACACAAATAGTCCTTGAACTTTGGCCCAATGTATAATGTGATCTCTAAACTTTTAATTTATTAACGTGCTCCTTGAACTTTAGCTTATTGTTCAATGTAATCCGTAAACTTTTAATTTGTTCAATGTGGTCCCTAGACTTTTGATACATGTTCAATATAGTCCTCGAACTATATAAAAATGTTCAATATAGTCCTCGAACTATATAAAAATGTTCAATATAATCATTCCATTAATTTAATATCGGGGACAACATTGAACTTTTTCATATAGTCAATAGACTAAATTGAGCATGTATCAAAAGTTCGGAGACTATATTGAAAAAATTAAAAATTCAGGAACTATATTGCACATTGAGCTAAATTTAGAGACCACATTGACAAATTAAAAATTCAGAGACCACATTGCACATTGGGCCAAAGTTCAGAGACTATTTGTGTCATTTTCCCTTAAGTTATTTATGAATAATTAACTTAAAAGTTGGTTATTAAAAAAATAACAATATATTGTTTTATGTTTATATTACTAGTATTAAATGTATTGCAATATCTCATTCCATTCCATTCCATTCCATTCCAACAAATCTTTTCTTACAATCCAACACATAAATTTTCATTTCACTCCGTTCCCACACTTGTCCATAAAAGAAAATTGAAATTATCATTTCATTTGATTCCACCGTACCAAACGCGCTATAATACGTACAAGTCGGTATAATAAATTCTTCTATAAAAATGATATGCATAGTGATCCAGCACGTGGCTATTGGGTGTCGAGTATAAATCAATTTTTTTGGTACGACCACCTATGAATCTTTAGTAGATTGAGGATTAATCTAAATGTTAAATATTTCAGTGGCGCAAGACAACGTAAGCGTGAGATCAGAGACCACGAACGGCTCAGTGGCCTGCAGATGCATCCTGTTCCATCTGTCCGAGTCCAATCAAACCAACTACAAGAGATGGAGCAGAACCTTCGGGGTTTGAGTCCATATTTTCATCGTGCTCAAATCATTAATTAATCCATTATTAATTATATATTTCTCGACAGGATTATATTCAGTCAATTAATTAATAATTACGGAGGGAAATAGAAAAAACGTTGGGTTTAGAGGCGCATTCCAAGAACCTTCGTCATTTCATCATGTGCAAATCTTTTCGATTTGCGAAGCACTTTCTAACGAGAGAATCATTGAAGGAATTTCACCGGCCAAATATGGAGGGATTATTAGTTGACCAAACATATGTATATTTAAAATATATATTGGTACGTACTAACAGATGGGTACTCGCGATGCACACATAAAATTGGCACTTTAGATATTTAAGCAAAACCGTTTTATTCAAAAAAAAAATTGAATTGTCAAATAGTGGAAAGAAATTATTCATAAAGTAACACAATAATACAACAGTATTGTGTAAAATATATATTCATACGATAAGTAATTGAGGACATTTAGGAAAAAAAAAGATTGAGATCCTTTAAAATTATGAAGTCATCTTTGCTTTATATATATTAGTAAATGTAAACAAACATTAGGTCGATGCAAGAAAATTGACATTTGAAAAATTAAACATAGGAATTTTATAAATATAATTGGAAAAAGAAAGATATTTCGATATTTGATTTTGTTAGGAATCTGGTCTTAGGATAGAAAATATCCGATTTTAATAGAGAAACATGTGAAAGATAATATATAATAATTTACTTACGCATTTTGCTATGAAAAAATTAATTGTAAAATAAGTAACTAAGAATATTTGGGAAACTTGGTAATACCCTGTTTTCAAGGCCTGTAGAATTATAATAGTTATCCCATAAAGATGGAAGGTCCTCTTTATTTTATACAACAGAATAACTAATATAGATGTTGACATAAAGATAGGCAAGAAAGTAGATACATATATCCATATAAATGTTACATCTCCTAGCTATATGACAAGTTGCTTGTGTTTTGAGCATAAAACTAATGATCGGGCAGATCATTTCGAAGATCTAGCGACAGGTTATCCACTCTCCAATTATTGTCTCAATTATCTAGGACAAGCTGGCTCCATTGTTTTTTTAATACAATTCTTTTGATATAAACCCCTTTTAAATCCTCGAAAATTGATTATTCGTAATTCGTCGAAATAATTTTAAAAATTCTAACAATAGTCACTTGCACGGTCCAAAAAAAAAAAGGTTCAAGAGCTTTGAATTGAAATTTTTACGCAAGTAAATGAATGTTTCGAATATGACAGTAGTAAAGATGAAGTTTTCTTTTGCATAATATTTTAGTGGAAAAAAGCAAGCAAATGGGACATGAATGTCCCTCCTTTCAGACGTTAGATAAGGTTTTCTTTTATTATTTTTCTGAGAACGTAGAAATGGGTGTCATTGAAGGATTATATCCAAATATTATAATTGTAGAGAGAGAGAGAGAGAGAGAGAGAGAGAGAGAGAGAGAGGGCTAAAGTTGACCCAAGGAAAAGATGAAGAAGCCGTAGGCGCATTGCAGTGATGGTTGAACAAAGAGAGGCAGAGAGAGAGGGAGGCTGACACGCTCGGCACGTGCGAATGCTTTGCTTCACACGGCAGAGTGGAGACCGCGTTTGCTTCCTCTATAAATATGAAGGCAGCATTACTTTTCCTCACGGACACCTTTGAAAAGGCAAAGTTTCTCAAGCACTCCTCTCCCCAGGTGAGATTTCTGACTTGTGTGTTTCTTCTCATGTCCCTCTGGTCTTGGCTCCTCCACACATGTTTGAATGTATTGTTCATCAACGAGGAAAAGAAAAAGGGCACAGGAGAGAACTCTCCATGTTTGACTTTTATCTGTCATAATCAACCATACTTTTCTGATAAAATGTTTGCATTCTATTAGGGTTCTAAATCACACTTGTGAGGTTTCGTATCAACCCAAATCTAAAGAAAAAGAAGGGAAAAAACATTCATACTTCTTAAAAACCCCAGAGAGTGCTTCAATGGAGATCTTATCACCCAGATTGTTCCCTGAGATAGTAAGCATTTGATTTTCCTTGCAAGCCCCCTATCGATTTTCATGTCTGACTTGATGAATTTTTCAAGATCTAATGTATACTTGATTTCACAGGTAACAGAAGATCCACTTCATCATATGTATCACCATCATCAAATGATGAACTCCTTCGATTGCCCTCTCGACGATTTCGACTTCAACCTTTTCTCTTCAGAGATGCACTCCCCTTGTGCACCGTTGGATCCGGAAACGATGCGAGCTCTCATGGATCCGCGGGTCCAAGCTGCTTCGACAATCATGGAGAGGCCAATGAAGAAGCCAAAGACCGAGATCTGGAGCAACACTTGCTCACCCGAAACATACAAAGCCTCAAGAACAGTGACGACCTCGCCATCAGGTAGTCCCCAGTTGATATCTTTTGGGAGCTTGGATCTGTCCCCAACCGAATCGCAACAGTTTTACGGTACCTACTTCGGACATTTTTGTTTATTTAGACTAACGATTAAGATCTGAGATAGTATGCTGATGATGTTAACACGAAAAGCTCTCTTTTAATTAATTTGTGAAGGTGCTTAAAGCTGTCTTCTTTTAATTAATTTGTGAAGGTTCTTATGAGATCCAAGATTGTCAAAAAGAGATGAAGAGAGCTGGGGCAATGAGTAGACCAACTTTACATTCACAAGAACACGTGATTGCAGAGAGGAAGCGGCGCCAGAAGCTTAGCCAGAGCTTCATTGCTCTCTCTGCCATCATCCCTGGCCTTAAAAAGGTAAATCTTCTTCAACAAACTTTTTTTCCTTTTTCCTTTGCATTTTTCTTTGGAAATATTCTCTATTGCTAAGAATACATATCTTCCTCTTGACATTAGAGTTGTCAAAACAAAAGCATATCGACAATGAGTATATGTTGGAGATCGAAATGTTGACACGCCCATGGTAGGATACCCAACGATTGCACTCTGGAAATAGAGATGATATTAGAAACGGTAACTTATTGTTTGCTCCGATTAATCACTATGGGTGATTGTTGTGAATCTCGTAAAGTTCGGTTTGTTTCATACATGAAATCATCTAATCCAATTACACTTCACAAATTTACACTGGAAAGAGGTGTTGGCTAGAAGTCTCACTTTCCTAAAGTATGGATTAACATTGAAATCATATGTATCTACGTGCATTATTGACCTGCTTACAATAGCTTAAAGTTTCATGTCACACTGTCGGGCAAATCTTCTGGTTCAAAACCGGGTATTTTACTCCCATCGGAAACAATTTAAGTTAGCTTGAAAAGAATTTGCTTACCTTTGACAAATCATCAAAAAGATTGAATGCTTGTTTTCCTTTAAGTTCATCAAAATTGATAAATTTGAACGGGGTGGCTACTGGACAACAACATACTCAAATCAATTTTCTCATGTGTTGTGTTTTTTCCAGATAGACAAAGCATCGATCCTTGGAGATGCAATCAAGTACATGAAGCAGCTTCAAGAACGCATCAAGAAACTTGAGGAAGAGGTGGCAGTCAGGAATGAGGAATCAGTTGTGATTGTAAAGAAGTCTCAGGTCTCGGCAGACAATAATATGTCGTTGGATGACTTCAAGCAACAACTCCCGGAGATCGAAGCGAGAGTATCAGATAAATATGTTCTTTTCCGAATCCATCATGAGAAAAGGAAGGGATATATGACAGAGATACTCAGCGAAATCGAGAAGATGAATCTATCTGTTCTCAACAGTAGTGTATTACCGTTTGGAAGTTCCATGCTAGATATGACAATCGTAGCTCAGGTAAATTCAAGTACTTGCGTCATTCCTCTCCTTTTCTTTTATGGGTAAAGTTAGAAACTAGCACATACTTAGAAACTAGTACAAACATATGTATCCAATATCAACGAAATTACTGTACGTTAGAAGTTTCAATTAAATCAATTTAGTGTTTGTCTAGGTGAAGAAGTGGAAGGGGAATTTGCAAATTAGTGTGGAATTTCGGTTCAATGGGAAAATGTCGAATAAGCAATTCTGTCTGAAAATCAGTTAATCAGAAACATTCTCCATAACCTTTTTTATTGTTGATTTTCATTAACATAGCCTTTTTTTCCTTTCAGATGGACGTTGGATTCTGTATGAAAGCTGAGGATCTCGTCAGGAATCTACGCCAGTCTCTTCTCAATATTGAATAATCAACATCATCTTCGTTCTTTTGTTTTCAAAAGCCTCTTCTAATTTTTCCTTTCGTCATTCGGAAGTTAGCTACTCTTTTTTACCCCCAAATAGAATGATTTCGGACCTTGTGAGGGACAACCTTTGAATCTCTCTTGACCAGACCTCCAGCTTGCGGCACGAAATGTCTTGTTTTGTCTAAGAGTTTCTTTTTTGCTAGTGGGTTTTTTCCTTCTGTTTTTTTCCATGGTCGACATGTTTGGCCATGTTGAAATCTTACCCACGAGCTGCGTAGGAAACTTTTAGTATATTTTTGTAAGCTTCTTTTTTTTAGAGGTTTGACTTTTCAACGAAGCCTCTTCCTTGCACTCTAATTGCAAGTGGAAAGGGGTCTGGCTCAGATAGACGAATTGGAACTTTTCTCTCTCCCGGTTGGATTAGATGTTCAGTCTTTTTCAGTCTTGTTCAGAAACATTCTGTATTCATCAGTTCATATTTGTTGTAATTAAAGTAAATCGAACGGTTGTGAGATCATCTTCTTGTTCTATATGGAGGTTTAAATTCAGCTGATTTTGATCCATATTCGGTGCAAATGTGACTGACAAAATGTGTGATGGATTGATATTCCCAATACTCGTGAAACCGTTTTAATATGAATAAACTCCTCAAGATGTCAATCAACATGACGTGCTCAAACTGTCCATGAAGCATCATAGATGAAGATATCGGGCTACTCCTTAGCGCTTTCAATAAATGGTATCAAAGCTGATGATTGATTAGTGCTCCACCCTTCATCTATTTCAGTGTTTGGTGAATATCTTAAGGAAAGAATCTTGTTGCTAACGCGGTTTTCATGGGGAGCCTTCATGGTTCAATCTAGTGAAAGGGACCGGGGTTGAAGGTGGGCATTATGGAATAGCAACATAGGCTCCGATGACTTCATGATTCGCTTCGGAGAAAAAGAGACCAGGGTTGAAGGTGGATGTTCATGGAGATTCAAGTTTAGATATGTTGGTGTAGAAGGAAACTTGAATTAAGGGAAAGCATAGACCTAATGCTAAGCTCACAGGTGAGGTGTGTTAAAGAAATCTTACATCGGATAATTGACGTGGTGTGGAGTAGTTGTTGCGACAATTCCAGAGGTAGACCACCAATGGAAAGCTAATAAATTACTAAGCCGGCACGAATGATTACTCATAAAAGAGACGTGTCATCGCTTAGCGCGGACTATTTTAAGCCCATACCAATCACAACTAGGGTTTCGATTTAATCATTTAGAAATATGTAATTCAATTCATTTAGGAATCACCACTAATTTATTACGGGTTGACTAGAAACCCAAGTAAAATATGGGAAAATACTCTATTTCTACAAACAAAAACTTTCATGGATACAGGGATTTGATTACGTTAGATAAATCTAATGCCCTTCGGTATGTTTTCTCTATATTTCAAAAATATTTTGTTAGTAGTTTTAATCAATTTTAATCTTAAACCACTAACATGTGATGAGTGAGCATATGGGTGCGCAAATAATAATTTAACACTCAACAAATCAAAGAAAAAATAGATTATTTGAAGGAATAAGAACCCTAATGGGCTAAGCAAATCCAAAGCGCAACTTTGTTATCGTCCAATGCAACAAAGGTTCCGCAAAATGTTAACTAAAAGCAAACGACAATGTAATGCATGAATGACCTGTACATGGTTTCTAAATGCAATGGCAATTAGCTTTTTTTGGTTTTTCTTATTTATAAAATAGACATGATTTAATCTAAATGTTATGACTCTATGAATTCTAAATTAACATGCATTGGTGAACTAACTTGAAATCTAGTAACATGTAAGCTATGTCATAATCATATTGATTGCAACCCATATGTAATTCTAATGACATGAGACTATTTTTTTGAGTTTTCTTCTTATAAATAACCTATACTTTAGGACACCTAAACATGACTTAATGATGCAAAGCTAATTTTTTTGGTTTTTTTTATATAAGAATTAAACTATATACAATACATGAGATGTAATGATCGATTGTACTTATCTACATGATGTAATTTTTAAGCTGTTGAGAAAACCTCCGATGTCTTTAATAATGGAAAAAACTATTTCTTGCAATTTATGGTTTGATAGATGTGATGTTGTTTATATTCAGGTAACTATCGATCACTTAACACCATTGAAACTTTCCTTGATGCTAAGTGAAAGAACTTGAAAGACTGGAAGGATCTTAAGGGTCAAAAAGTATTGAGCATGTCGTGCTGATGGACTTGAAAAACTATGTGTTGTGTACACCATTCATATAATCATTTTAATAGATCTCGTATATATTTCGTCTAATTTTACCTTCGAGATAGACTATTCCCCAAATAAGATGAAGAGGTCTAGTATATCTACACTATTGAAATTTGTAAATCGAACTAATGTTACAATGGGTTGGTGTAATTTATTTAACTTGCATTGTGGTAAAGCTGTGGTGATGGGCTCGCCATCTGGACGTTGCACGCCCTTGCCAGCTAGACATTGTGCGCCCGAGGAATCCTATGTAGCACAAATTCAACATTCCATTGCAAGTGAGAAACTCCTATGTTAAAGCCTAAGAGCAGTTGTCATCATTTGTCACCTCTTACAGCTCCTTTTTTGAGCCAAAAGAATTATGCCAATTCTATATTATACTCCATAGATATACTAAAGCTGCATATGGTCGCTAGGACATTTAGGAAAAGATTGGTTAAGTTGTGATTAAAATATTCCCCTACATTTCTTATATGTCATATTCTGAAGAAAAAATATCAGACGTAACAATCGATGAAGCTATATTTAATTCAAGATAGTGTCCGGTGAAGTTAGGTTTTGATTTAATAAAAACAATAAATTATCAAGTAAGCAAATTCTTAAAAGAAAGAAAGAAAAGTTTAACATTCAAGAAAAACCACCAAAGCCATCCCGGCGACGGTAGTCACCACTGACGATGACAATCACCGCTATGATGGTCGACTGACGTGATTGCATTGGTGAGGTCCCGACTCTTTGCCGACAAGGGCAAGGGTTAGCCACCACCGCTTGTTTTAGGTGATCGAGGCACCATCCCTCGCCTGCTCTAATCGTGGCAAGGCCCATGCCTGGGCCTAGACGAGGCTCGATGACACTCACCATGGCCCGGGCAAGGCTCAACAACCCTTGCTTGCCACCCTCTTCCCCTATCTCAATGATCTCTCTCGACCTCTCACTCTCTCAGTCTCTTTTGTTTTGTTTTTTTTTTTCATTTGTTGTCTTTCTATGATGTGAGTGTCCACTTAATGTCATGTCACGCCATGTGTCTAAAAAAAAAAAAAGGAAAAATCAATAGCCATGTAAATGTTCTATCCACTTAAAACTAACGAAAAAATAGAATGTCTTAAGTACGTGAATTTTACAAGTTTTAGGAATCATATGAACAAAATGAAAGTTTTAGGAGTCATTGCATGCACATTATCATGAGAAGTTGTAGGACCCCGGCCGTATTCATCCCTATTTCTTAAATGCCGTGCAAATTGACGCAGTAAAGTGAATAATATAGTACACGTAAGTAACAAGAAAAAGAATTTCAATTCAATATTTTGCACATTTATGATGTTAATTGTATAGGATAGTAATTTCTCTGATTCCTCCCATGACAGAATCTAATTTCAAATTTTCTTTCAGGGCCAAAAATCCTCATTTGAAGTCTCCTGCATTTGGAGCTTGTCAGGACATGCGGTTAAAGTACAATACCTTAATCTGGGAAGATTACTAAGGCTCAAGTCCGAATTCATCAATATATCTTGTTGAATCCAACTTCAATAAAAGAATTTAAGTAAATAAGTTATGAATTAATTATGATGTATAAACTACTCTACTTAACAAGACATTCCTGATTCGAGACTTATTTCGTCTTACACCCGCATACAAGCACCTTGACAGAGCTTAATTTGTGCAGTTTTCTAATCCATTTGACTGTTTCTAAGTTAAAGACAACTATATTTTCAAAAGCTTAAATTCTTTTCAATTTCTCTTTTAATATTTTTTAGGAAAAATTTCAAATAAAGGCCTAAAGTGCCCTCATTTTCTCAAATAATATTATGAAATGAATCTTGCTTCAAATAACAGTCTAAAATGGCCATGTCAATTTCAAAGAAGGGTCTGACTTCACCAGGGTCAAGGGCAATTTTTTATTTATATTTTTTTTTATTTTTTTCCTTTTTTTCTATCTTTTTTCCTTTTCTTTTTTTTTCTTTCCATAAAAAAAGAAAAAAAAGCTAAAGTTAGTAAAAACTGAAACCACAAGCAAGAGGGAGCTTGTATTTTTCTTTTTTAAAAAAAATTTTATTTTTATAACCGTTAATCTAACTGAACTAAAATTTTTGTTAAAATTATTTTTGGATGAAAATGCCCTTGATTGGCGGGAAAATTTGATCGACCGGCGGGGCTAGGCTCTTATTTGAAATTGTTATAACCATTTCAGATTCTTATTTGATAAAATGAGGGCATTTCAAATCCTTTTTAAGCTCTATTACTATTCGTGTTTATATTGTCTCACGAGTATAAGGCATCTATTTCATAGAAGCTTCATCTACTTTAAGATAAAGCTCTGAACGGTTTCGCAATCCAATTGATGGGTGCACGTGTTTAATTTTTTGGCTCCAAAGCTTCAATTGCTTTCATTTTTCCTTTTTGATTCTTTAGCTCAAAACCTTTATGGGTGCACCTGTTTCATGACCACGTCCCTATCAGACGTCCATTCCATGGAAACTTCATCTACTTTAAGTCAATGTACACAAACCTGTTGATTGTCAAAAGAGGGTAGAGCCCATCAAATCAACAAGGTAGGCAGCTGGCTTTTCCATTTCAAGCATCCATCTCGAGTTAAAATATCTCATTAAAAGAAAAAAAACTGTTGAGGGCACCAGAAAAAAACTTTATCAGAGCCAGGTGAAGGAAAAAAAAAACATATATATAGAGGTAGAAATTTTGTTTCATAAAGTAAGCATGACCTTTTCAAGGCCGTCACTTTTAATGAAAATCGATATCTATCATAAGAAATTGATAACTCACTAGTTTTGCACAATCGTCGATATCTCCGTATTAGAAAAATTACACAACAAGTCCTAAATCTATTATTGACAAAGTTCAGTCTGGCAAATGATGGCATTTCAATCATGACTAAATTTACCACATTAGCATCTACTTCTTTGATAGACTGTTGGGATGGATTCATGTATCACTTATCTTAGAAGTGAACCTCTTTGAGATACCTTCAGAAAGTGGCACCTATTGACATCAGAGTTTGTTGTTCAAAAGGTACTTTGTCATATTTTTTAATTTTGGGGATTGAATTCGTCGATATTGGCCGAATTCAATCCCTAATGGAAATGAATGATTAAGATACACAATACAATGAAATTGTGTAAATATATATTTGTATGTTAAGTAATTGAGGATATAAAGGAAAAAATGAATGAGATCCTTTAAAAATATGAGGTCCTCTTTGCTATATTAGTAAATGTACCC